AGAGTTAGAGAGTAAATGAGTTAGCGTGTGTGAGAGTTAGTGAGTGAGTGATTCGGTGACTGAGTGGGTGATAGTTAATGATTAAGTGTGTGAGTGAGTTAGTGAGTAAATAAGTGACTGAGCGAGCGAGAGAAAGAGGGAATGTCTTCTCACGGCGGTAAGCGCAAACGTTCAGGTCAACAGGCAGACACATTCTGGGCGTGAAAATCTCTGCTAAGTGGAATCGCTTTCAAGGAAAATCGTATTCCTCGAACGAACTCTCCTCGACGATCGCTTACCCTCGTTTCACGGAAAATTATCAGCCCTCGTTAACATATCTCCTATCCTTCTTATTCGCAAGATATATTCTTAGGCATTGATGGAACATCTGCCACCGTCGCGCCACTACTGGTTTCTCCCTTTCGATATATTCAACGCGTAAAAAGTTCACTCCTCTCGTACGGGGCACTTAAATATCGGCAGGACGAGGTTGCCGCTCTATTTACATAATATTTCGCGAGATCGATATCGGAGGGCAGAGATTGCGCCGCCTTAATAAGCCAGCCCCGAACGAAATTAGGAACCCGAAGCCATTCGCGCGAGCTCCTATCGACGTTACCGCCGCGAAAAACATGGAGGCCTGGACGCGCAGAATATCAACCGGCGATCGACAGATAAGTGCGATCTCCGTTATTAGCGATAGGCATCGATTCGTAAAGAGCAAATCGACAACCTCTAATCGAAGCCGCTCGAGAACCTGCCGATACGGCTTGCGCTTCTACGGTGTTTTCGACCGACTCTTAGCGCCGTCCAGACGTCCGTCCCTCGGTAATTTCGTGTAAACACGATGTCGTACAACGCTTTATAGTGTCGCGTGGTTTTGTAACCGGGAGTTTTAAACATTGGGTGTGGTTACGTAGAACGCTGCGAAGTACTTAGTAATGAAAGGTGTCGATGTTGTACGGTTTATCAAGGTAGCACAACGTGTTCTTGTAAAGGACACATTTTAATGGAGTGCAGTGTCTTCTTCATTGCGCCTGTTTGCTTCCAGTGGTCATTTTCTCCACACGAACGGACGTTGTTTCTGAGAAATTTTGTCCCATTTGAGATTATTAATTCTCCCGAGACAGGGTTCTTTAGGTATTTTTGTTGAAATCTTCCGCGTCTACTCTGCCGTAATTAAGTCATCGGATAGAAATTGTATCACTTGTATGATAAAAAGAGCGCGTCAAGTGATCATTTTCTTAATATATGTTATTCTAAGAAATTTTCAAGATGGGATTCATTAGCAATTTTTCTGATCAATAATCTTCGACATCTACTCAACCATACTTCAGACAAGTTTTCACTAGGATAAAAGAAGCTTTGAACACTGTATCATAGTTTCTCACAAAAATCAAAATTTAAGACCAAATTTCCAGCGAATAAAAATAGTTAATTGTAAGAAAAGGTTCGAAACATTTACTTAATTTCAAGGATCGAAGCATGTTCGATTGACACGTCAAGATGCTCGTCACGCTGTCGAATCAAACAACGATATTATTAACGACAAGGTTCTCGTTTTTCGGCAGGAAGGCCGTGGAGCAATTACCAAGTAATCCGTGGCCACATTACCGTCGCCAATTATCGAATGGACGATTCGACGGAGCCCACGGTGGCAAACGATCCCAGGCGACTCTCAATCAACTGAGAGCGCGGTGGACGATGACGATCGACTGCAATTTCGATGATGATACAGAATTATCCAGCGCGAAGGGATCAACCGGACCCCGAACACCGTGGCCACTCTGCACTTTCGAGAGAGTGCTTCATGCGAGGATCGCTCTTTTGCACCTTGGAACGTCTTCGACAATGGTTTTCGTACGCTTCGTGAGATTGCACCGTATAGCGATGGGCGTTTGAATCGTAATTTCGAAGCGAGTGGAAGTTTTTTAGTACGGTGAAAATTCGAATCACTTTGAACCTAATTTTGAACTCTTGAAAGACTTGGATCTTGAGTCTTGAGAGGTCTTGAGTCTTTAAAGTTCCGAATCTTGAGTCTCTAGAGTCTTGATAAATCTTGAGTTTTTACAGTTTCAAATATTGAGTCTTTGAAGTCTTGAATTTTGAGTCTTTAAAGTTCCGAATCTTGAGTCTCTAGAGTCTTGATAAATCTTGAGTTTTTAAAGTTTCAAATATTGAGTCTTTGAAGTCTTCAATTTTGAGTCTTTAAAGTTCCGAATCTTGAGTCTTTAAAGTTTCGAGTCTTGAGTCTTCAAAGTCTTGAATCTTGAGTCCTTAAAGTTTTGAATGTTGAATCCTTAAAGTCTTGATAAGTCTTCAATTTTGAGTCTTTAAAGTTTCAAGTCATGAGTCTTTAAAGTCTTGAATTTTGAGTTTTTGAAGTTCCAAATCTTGAGTCTTTAGAGTCTTGATAAGTCTTGAATCTTGACTCTTTAAAGCTCTGAATTTTGAGCCTTTAAAGTCTTGAATATTGAGTCTTTGAAGTTCCGAATTTTGAGTCCTTAAAGTCTTGAATCTTGAGTCTTAATAGTCCTCGAGTCTCCGAAGCTCCTATAGGTCTTCCAACTCTACTTGGGCTTTCCCCTATTAAACCTTTCAAGACTCTGAAACCTATCAAGACTTACGCTTCGATACTTATCAGAACTTTCCAGTATAAAATCATGTTCGAAGTGCTTCACAGCCCATCGTTATACACACATAGGAAAATACGCGTACGAGACTCGCAGGACAGAGAGTTTCCTACATAAGCGAGGCTTTATTACAAGTGCAGGGGACTGCGAGGGGCTAGAAGGACGATCACGGATCCGCGGGCGAACTTCGTTACGGACCTGTGTGATTTTCCATGCAAATTGAGTTGTTCGCCTGTCATTATGCTAATAAAAATAATGACGCGTCGCAGTACATACGGGTAATGCAGCTGCTGTAATGAACCACGGCGTCGGAGGTCCTCGCACCACCGTTGAAATCGTGACACTTGGACGTTTCTGTGCTGTTCTCAATCATAAACAGCTGGTCTTGCTAAACGAGAAAGTATTTCGTACTTCTGATTGTCGCCATTATTATACACCGCGCAATCCTACGTTGTTTATCTTCCTTATCCAATGATGAATCGTTGAAATGACAAGGGGGAAAAGTGGTTAAGTGACATCTGTCCGGTTAATTAGTTCGAGGAACGATCACACAACACGGTGTGTATAGAGGTAAAAAACAAGTTGATGATACGTTTGTTCTCGAAACGAAATCGTGAAACTTGTTGTGTGGGATAATGACAGGGACACGACTATTTTATACATAAGGGAATTCATAGTTCCATTCAGCGTGGATAAACGCGAGGGACTGCTACTCGTTTAAAACAAAAAAAAAGAAAGAAAGAATGAAAATAACGAGGTGGGATGATGGTAATTATCGCGAACGATACTAATAATTATTTTGTTAGCCATTTGCTTCCAGAGGAACGTTAACACGTTCTCTCCCTTGCCCCCTGGAATAACGAACACGCAAGAAATTAGCCGTAATAAAGATATCCCTTCTTGTGTTCACGCTTGAACTTGCGCGCGAACCTCTTGTACTACACGAGACGCTAATTACTTTTTAAATTCATGCGACAGTAAAAGAGGCTTTTGATGCACCGCGCTAATCTAAAATGTTTCTGCGACAGGACTGTGGTAGGTAGAGATCTTCATTTCCTTCCCTTTTCGAGCAGGATGAAATCTTTTAATTAGATAATTTGCAACGAGTGGGAAGAGCTGAGAGTGGAATCGTTCATTGTGAAATTCAAACACGAACCATTCGTGCAGTTGACGACTGTTTTTTGTTCACCAAATTTCAGAATGTTTTATTTTCAAAGCTTTAACAGCCGAACTAATCAACCAGAGTCCACTACACTTCAACATAACAAACATCTCATTTCCTTTTCCACATTGTAAGAGTACACTTCCAATCGATACATTTCTGTTCACTAAATTTCAGAATTCCACAATCTGAAAACTTCAACACAACAAACATCTCATTTCCTTTTCCATACCTTAAGAGTACACTTCCCATGGATACATTTCTATTCACCAAATTTGAGAATTTCTCTTTCTGGAAACTTCAACACTACGAATATCTCAACTGCAAACATTTCCTTTCCTCATATTCGAAGAGTACACTTCCAATTGATACATTTCTATTCACCAAATGTTAGAATTCCACACTCTCAAAGCTCCAACATCACAAACCTCTCAACTGAAAACATTTCCCTTCTCCATATTCCAAGAGTACACTTCCCATCGATACATTTCTATTCACCAACTTTCAGAGTTCCACACTCTCAAAGCTTCAACACCACGAATATCTCAACTGCAAACATTTCCCTTTCCAATACTCCAAGGATACACTTCCCATCGATTCATTTCTATTCACCAAATATTACAATTCCACACTCTCAAAGCTTCAACACCAGAAACCTCTCAACTGAAAACATTTCTCCTTCCAATACTCCAAGAATACACTTCCCACCGATTCAACCTCCAACCAAATCAACCATACCCGACTCTACACTTCCACAAACGAGCAGCTTCTCCAAAGCATAGACGGGGAGGATCACCAAACGTCTCGTGGTTTCTCACAAAAAAAAAAAGAAAAAGAAGCGGCACTCGTCACCGGGTGGTGGTGCATCGTGGGAGTGATTGCGGAAACGTCTGACGGCGGTGCCGCCGCGTTACGTGCGTGCATAATGCATATCGCGTGACTCCGTCACGGATCCGGACAGTTACAACGTGTACACGCGTAACAATATCGCGTATCGGGTGGAATCTCTCCTCCCCGGCCCTTCTCCATCTCGCCCGCCCGCCGACGTCTGGCATTTTAATCGAAGAGCCGCGAGGGAGAAATGGATTGCCGGCGGAACGCGTAGCCTCGCGGTCGGGCCAGCGTAACGAGCGTATTATAAAATGGAGGCCTCCCCAATGCCACAGTCCCATGACTTTTCCTCGAACCTATTCGCGCCACTATTCTACAGTAACGTGCATACATACGTACTACCCGTACTTGCACGTCCATCGCGGAAACCCTCGCTTGGTAATTAGAGACGCGTCACGATTACGTTATCCTGTTATGGATCTGCGTTTCATAACGAGGCCACTGGATTGCTTTTTCACTATGCTGTACGTTTTAGCAGGAACTCGTTTCCGAACCATCACCCCTAGCGAGGGTGGCAACAAGATTCCTGTCGACGATGGAGACACGCGTTTCCGAGATTCACGTTCTTCATCGCGTGTACACACAGAGTGTCCCAAAAGGAGGCTACCTAAATATCTCTTTTTGCTTTTTAATATCATCAAAAAACTTTAAAATCGCAATTAAAATGATTTCGAAGGATGAATAATGTAGAAGAAAAATTTGGTAAGACTTTTGGAGATTGTAGTTCTCACTGACTATGAGTGGAGAAAGAAATGATTAATATGGGTACTAAATTCCATGCTTTCTCTGTAAAATGTACTTCTGTATGAACAGAAGAATCGGTCGAGGCTATATTAGACAACAGAAGGCACTTTTTATTCTTATTGTTGTAACTTTTTAACGAATAATTTATTCCAAGTCTTGGATAATGTGGCATATCGAGAGAAATTTATGCATATGGCTTCAGCCACCATATTTTTCATTTAATGTGAGACACTTAAATCGAACTTTTGATTAGAGGTGCAAAGAACGAAGTTGTCACCTGAATCCTTTACATTTCTTTCTGTGGCGACACTCGAAGACTAATCAAGAAACACGATCTACGTTCATATCAGTCAATTTCTCTCAGTTTTATATCGAAATGGAAGGAAGACAGATCGAACATCTCCAGCAAACACGTTTCAAAAAGATCACTTCACTTCACGACTAAATCCTCTTTGAAACTTTCCATTTCCCGACTAAATCCTCTGTTTCTTCACCACCCTGTACACAAGAAGGATTCGCTGGCTTGGTTTCTTCCGTTTCAAAACGTTGTTGCACGGTTGAACATTGTAACGCGTGTATAATTTATACGGTGGCCGTTTTCTATCGGAAAAAGGGATCGCTTATCAATGGCGCCGCATCGAACGTGTATTCTTCTAGCGTGTTAGTTGTTAGTTGTAATTAGGCTTGGTTATTAAAGTACCTGTGGCGCCTGTGTGTACCATAACGAACGTCGTGAGACTTCACGAGGAAAAGCAGCGAGGGAAAGGGCGGAAGAACGAGGAGGAATAGAAGATTGAATAGAAAATTCGGAGCGGAGAGGGATGGAATACACACGCGAGCGGAAAAACTGGCGGGCCAAGGCAGGGCACGCCTGCTGTTTTACGAGCTGCAGCTTCAGCACGTCGGCCAATTACACCTTCCACGGTTAGGCGGTTCCTCCGTCTTAACGGGCAGTTAGTGCCAACATAAATGTCCCTGCTGCACGCTTTTAATTGCCCGCTTATAGCGGCCGCCCGCGATATACCGGGGCGACGGTGAAAAAAACGGCAAGGTCGCGGGCTCGAGAGGCCGAGACGTAGCGAGGCCGCGTGATTCTTGTTTCACAAATTGCCCGGACGCGTTCGTGTTACGAGAAAAAGTCTGTTGACGTGCCGCGCGAATATCGAGCGGGAGAAACGGCGAATTTGAGAATCGACCGTGAGGTGAGACTTTTCGATGCTGTGACACTGTTCTGTGAGATTAACTTGAAGAAACGATGAAAGGGAAATCTCATTCTGCTATGGTAGGAGAAAATTGGCAAAATTTGGGTGTTTAATATATTTCTTTCTGACAAGCAATCAGAGGGCCAAGAAAATTTTATAGAGAATTACTGTAGTCAAGTATCATACTTTGGAAAATTACAAAAATTAAAACGTTTTATTTTTATGCACTATAACTAGTATGTATTAAAAGAAATATATCAGTTTCAAAATATTCTGTTTTTCAATATCCTTATATATATAATAAATCAACTATGCAAAAATAACTTTAAAAATCTAAATTTTCTCCGACTAGCTGGTAGTCTAACCAGAGAAATGTGCCGATCGCAAAGGGTTAAGGGGAGTTTGCACAATTAGGTTCTCTTCTTTGAGGATTAGTAGAAGCCTCGTGGCTTCATCCTTGACGTACGGAACACTGAATGCAACTTTCTTTGGATTTTGGATGAGTATGAAGTTCATTGCAAAATTTACAAGTTCCTCTGAGAACGAGCTTTACCTTTGTCACTTAAAAAATTGATCAATAAAGTGAAGAGTAGAAGTCCCAAAGAAAAGTATCATCTTCCTCCTTAGTATTTGTACGAGTCTCATGCACTCACGATTGAATTTAGTTTCCATTTTTCAGCCACATATCAGAGGTCTTATCACAGAGAAACGAGCGATACCCAGATTTCACCCTGCTCTTTCCATCTACATTCGATAAAGCAAACCTGTCACCAAACCGTGAACGATGGCCTGCATGTAAATACTCGCCACCCAAAAATGTTAATTATCAATCAACCTGCTAATTACCAATCCATACTCCCCGTCGCACACACCACCGATGCTCAACGTCCATCCTTATCTTTTACACCTCGAATCCACGATTTCTTATTACCCCACCACCCACACACCACGCTCACCACCAGCCGATTACGAAGATCGATGAAGTCGACGACAAGTTCTCGCCTGGCTGACCAATCGATCAACATTCACGATCTTCATACCCGGTTGTGTATCAGAGCCCGAGCGTGGAACCCACTCGACCGCACTCTTCTTTCTCCACCGTCGAAACCAATAAGAGAGAGAAAAAAAAAAGAACCAAACTGAGACGTCCACCGGAGCTCATTAACATCCCGGTTGGACACGCGTTCGCGCGTTCCCTTCGCGGATCCGCGATCGCGCCAATATATTTTAATTAATGATTACGCCGTAAATATCGTTTATCGGCGCGGTAAGTCAGCCGCTGCCCCGCCGGAGGATATAACATTCGTTTTCGGATGGGATCGCGTGGGTGTGACATCGGTTTCTGCGGAGCGGAGAGACGAAGACGTAGAAAGAGAGAGAAACACTGGGAGGAGAGAGGGACGGAGAGACCGGTGAGCGAAAAAGGGTACCGTGGGCTCAGGTGGCCCCCATGGCCGATAACTCTCCTCGCCCCGAAATAGGAATACTTGAAATTCGGTTATTAATTTGGTTTCACGGCCCGACGGGGCGCTGGCGACCCCCTCGTGCGTGTCAGCCCGGGGTTGGGCCCTTCCTGCCTCGCCCTTGGGACTCTCCCTTGAGACAATGGCCGCCCGCGGTGCCCGATGTCTCCGACGACGTCTCAGGACCCCCGCCGTGGCACGCATGCCCGCCGTTTTACTGCTATAGAGACGTCAGATATCCGTCCCGTCATTTCGTATTCCTGCCCTCCGGGCCCATGCCGCAGGGCCCCTCTCTCGTGGTCCGTGCGTGTCCGAGCCACGATTTTTCTGTACGACGCGTGAAACCACTGTCGATAGGGATTACAGAAGACGCGGGGGGAATGTGGAATGATGCTTCGCGCTTGGGAGAAATTATTTTTCGCAGAAGGAAATTTTTTCTTTTTCGAATTAACAGGTATGATACGCTTGGACTTCTTTACTGGACGAATGAAACCTTTGTTGGCGGGGATGTGTGTCTAATCATGCCTGATTTGGGTTTCGTTAACTTTTTGGGAAGACGAAATTTTTTTAAACGAAGATTAGGAGAAACTTGGAAATTTGAGCGACGATTTTTTTGTTGGACATGTGAAAGGACTGCTGATAGGAATTGTGGAAGATCTTTGGATTTCCTTACTTTCTTGGGAGGACGACATTTTTTCATGCGACAAACTTGGAAGCCTAATCAGTGATTTTTCTGTGGGGCACGTGAAACCACCGTCGATAGGAATTATCGAAGATGCAGAGAAACTATGAAACGATACTTAGCTCGTATTCAATTACAAAATTTCATAACATTTCAACAAAATCTGAATGTGTCAAATCCCGTCTCTCCCAAGAAAGAAAACAATCGCCACAGCCAACGTCCCTCTCCAAAGATACCGATCTACACGATTAGAAAGCGATCGTAAAGAAATGATCCCGGAGGATAATTCGGGGACCGGTAGAAGGATCGCGAGGAGGACGGTTCATTATGCAATCTGGCGCGGTAATCTCGCGGCTACGCGGTGTCCCTCGATAGAGATCTGCCGCTTAATTGAGACTTAACCGCGGGCCTCGATCCCGCGATTATGCCGTCGTTGCCGTATGAGAAGACACACGCGTGCGCTCTCTTGGTTTTACTCGATCGTCTCGACGAGATCGAGACCACGTCGCGCTCTTCACGACACACAAACCCAACCTGTAGAGAGTCTCGGGAGTCTTGGAGAGCGCCGTACGAAAAAGGAGCTCGCGCTGGATTTATCGTGATGCATCGGGATACTGACAAGAACAGCTGTGCACGCGGGGCCCGCAGCTCTCGCAGCGGGAACGTAACCGCCGCGGGAAACAAACGTACGATAACGATCCACGTGTTTTGCGCCGCGTATGATGTTATTGTCGCGATTGATCGCAATTTTCAGATGAGAAACGCGCCGCTGATTTATCGCGATCGTTACATAGTGCTAGAGAGCGCCGATACACGCGAGCAGGCCTTTTCAAGACGCCTCGAAACCGATCGCGTGTTCTACCCTCCGTTTCGTAAAACGGTCCGCGGAATCTTGTGTAGGAAGGGGTTTCACGTACGATTATTGCCGGGTTCGTCGAAAAGTTTTCGCTCGCGTTTGCAACTCGCGAGGCATTTGAACGTTGCTTTTGATACGGTGTGTATAGTTGGCGAAAGAAATATAGCGAAGAAGTAAATCGATGCAGCGACATTCAGAATCGAATTTTTCAAAGCTGAAGCATACTTCTGTATTTTCAACTTATACAGCAGTTCAACTACTTGTGTAGTCAAATTTATGTATATAAGTCGTTTTCTACGTTGGGTTTCGACAAGTTAAGTATAGTCGGTGGAAGGAATATAGGCAGAGATTTTCGATAGTAGAAACTTTTCCTTTTTTAATTCGGATTGAGTTAAAGTTAAAGAATATTTCTGTAGCCCTGATTTAGGTTTCCAGTCCTTATTTTCTTAGGTGTGTGTCGATTCACTGGACCGAACGTGTAAACTTCGACACCTGACCGATTTTACAATTATCCCATCGACTATACTTCAAGTGTCTGCAATGTCCCGAGTGATTTCATCGAGATTCTTTTCGATTAAAGCTTAAATTCGATCGTTGTCAACTTTTGTGTGAGAAACCCTTGCAGAGTGTGAAGCGTCTTTGACAGCAAAATTTCCTTAATTTTGAAAACCAATATTGCCATACTCTATTATTCCCAGCACTGCAAATATTTTTTTTCTTTTTCGCTTTGCGCCGAGTTTGTATCCTTGCGTTATTAATACAGCACAATGCGTCAAAAATGCATCTTATTTTAGCACAAAAAACACAACCAATCGTTGCACTCTTCTTTTTCAAATGTCAGATCGAAACGTCTACCTTCAAATTTTATTTTCACTCGTCGAATCATTCGCATATCCACTCTCGGTATTATAACACAAACGCAGCATCGCAAATAGAAGAAGAACACTTTTGAACCAGGCCAATACAATTACTATTATTATTACCAAAGTAATTAGTTGCTCGTTTCTTCTTGGACGCTTTTCACGGCGGTTTCGTGGCTAGCTCGTTACGCGACCAGAGAATTCAATAAGTAGGTTCGTTCACGCGATCCACGGGGCCATCTTGGACTCGGTTCTCGCACGGAAATGATCGATTCGTGCCGGTAAACGCTCGTTCCCCAGCGTTTTTGTTTGTTCACCGTACGGACAAAGTGTTCGTTCGCCGCAGATCTCCGCGTGGATATCGTGTGTACGCGTGTTTGCATACCTGAATCGTGTACACGTTACTCTCCGGGCTCGGAAGGAAAAGGGCGACGCTTAACGACGCGCCTCGACCTCGTTCGAGAATGTTCAAATTTCAATGCTACTTACGCCCTGAATTCCGCATCGCAGCAAGTTTCCAAAGCATTGCACGGGTTCGCCGAAGATGGTCCATATGAAACACAAAGCAGATATTAAACGTGCTCCGATTAGCTCCCAGATGCACCGTTCACCGAACGAAAGGATTTCTTAAAAGAACGAAAAAGCAGTGTGAAGAAGCTCTAGCATAGAATATTGGAAATGTTTCGACGTAAAAGGGTTTCTTGATTCAATTGAGTGAACAGAGAGATCTCAATCAACGCGCTGCTACAGTTCAAGCCACGGAGAAAAATATCGAAGCGTGTAAATTGTTCCCAGGCTGAGAGAAATTCCCGTGAAGAAGTGCAACGTCAGGGTAAGCGTAACTTAAATCATGGACAATGTGTTAATTAGAAATTCAACGTCTTTTGTGACGAGATTTGAAGAAGAAACGGAGAAGTTGGCGGCGTGCTTGTAACCGTGAAGCGCCGAATTTTCGAACGGACCGTGTGCGCTCCACTTTTTACCTGGCCAAACCAATCCGAACTCGAAGATCGCGGTGCAGTTCAGAATAAGCGAAACGCGATACGCGCGAGACTTTTTTTCGGTGTGGGCCAGAGTGGCCCAGCGGTCCCCGCGACGGGAAAAGAAACCAGTTCGTTCATGCTAACTGCCGGTGCAACTGGGCCTGCTACGTTCTTCTGCCGCTACTTTGCAGCATTTCGTGACACGTAATGCCTGGTTCACACTGGGAAGAATTGCTCGCGAATAGATCGCAAGCAGAACACAAGTAGGGACAGAGTTGAGCTCGCGGGCAATTCGCGGGCAGAACATGAGAACTGGCAGAATTGAGTGCGCGAGCATGAATGCAAGCACTCGCAGAGTTAAGCTCGCGAACAGTTCACGCGTGGAATCTGAGCACTCACAGAGTTAAGCTCGCGAAGATTTCACGCGTGGAATCTAAGCACTCACAGAGTTAAGCTTGCCAAAAGTTCACGCGTGGAATCTGAGCACTCACAGAATTAAGCTCATGAAGATTTCACGTGTAAAATTTGAGATTTCACGCGTGGAATCTAAGTACTCGCAGAGTTAAGCTCGCGAACAGTTCACGCGTGGAATCTAAGCACTCGCAGAGTTCAGCTCGCGAAGATTTCACGCGTGGAATCTAAGCACTCACAGAGTTAAGCTTGCCAACAGTTCACGCGTGGAATCTGAGCACTCACAGAATTAAGCTCATGAAGATTTCACGTGTAAAATTTAAGTACTCGCAGAGTTAAGCTTGCCAACAGTTCACGCGTGGAATCTAAGCACTCGCAGAGTTCAGCTCGCGGAGATTTCACGCGTGGAATCTAAGCACTCACAGAGTTAAGCTTGCCAACAGTTCACGCGTGGAATCTGAGCACTCACAGAATTAAACTCGTGAAGATTTCACGTGTAAAATTTAAGTACTCGCAGAGTTAAGCTCGCGAAGATTTCACGCATGGAATCTAAGCACTCGCAGTGCAAAGCTCGCGAACAGGAACTTTTAATATATATTCTCCTCAGTTCACAGAGTTAAGCTTGCCAACAGTTCACGCGTGGAATCTAAGCACTCGCAGAATTAAGCTCGCGAAGATTTCACGCGTGGAATCTAAGCACTCGCAGAGTTAAGCTCGCGAAGATTTCACGCGTGGAATCTAAGCACTCGCAGTGCAAAGCTCGCGAACAGGAACTTTTAATATATATTCTCCTCAGCGAAAAATGTTCCCAATTTAGCGACGAGTTCACTGCTCACGAAAGTATCCAAACTTCCAGCAATCATACCTCACGATCTGTTCGCGAACATCTCGCGAACACCAGCGTGAACTCGGCATAATAAGCGATACTCACGGATGTCGGATCCTGGAGGGACGAGATGTAATCCCGGTCGTCACATGAAACAGAAAAAGCACACGGTGGAAACCACCGGTTAAAAAGGGACAACGAAAAAAAGGGAAAAAAAAAGAGGATTAATAAGAAAAGTAACGCGATGTTGTAAGGAAATTCGATCGATGCTACTCAATGAACCGTTTTATTTTCAATTTCGCGGATCTCCATTCCTCCGTCTCTCTCTCAACATCCACACGACCCGCTTTCCATCTTCCCGCGTTCCTATATTATACATCGCCGGTGAAACGCGGCCGATTAGGCCTGGGTCCTCTCCTCGATCAGCCAGGTGAGTACACGATCGACGAAACGATCACTCGCGTCCAAGAGAAAAGAGAGTGGCCAGCAACAGCACATTATGCAGGAATAATAATTGGATTGTAATCGTTGGACGGGACGGAAGCAGCCGCTTTTCTGCCCCCGTGCTACGTGCATAATGACCGCGCGCCAGTTTCAAAGTATAAAGACGTTCCAAGCTCCTCTTCGGCTCGACAATTTGTTATGCATACCTCGCATGGACGAAAATTGCGTTTAATTCGCCGCTGCTTACCGCCGGCTCGATCCATTCGGCCCCGGCAAAGAACGACCGAGACTTCAATCGATACAACCGGTGTGTGGTAAAGGGAGCGAGTGAGAGGCAGGTAAGGGAACGCATAAATGTAGATGTTCCATTTAAAAAGCCATTTTCGCGTGTTTAGCATAATACGTAATCGCGCGAATCGCTCGAATTATTCCGCGATCCCGTCGCCACACGGGCTTATATCGGCGCGTCCGAACCGAACCGAGGAGTCGTTAACCATCCACGAAACGATCCGCCACTGAGAGAGAGGGCTTTTAGCCGGTGAAAAAAGCCTTGTTCGAGATCGGTTCGTGATCGCGTTCCCAGAACACAATTTATACACCGATCGAAAACGAGCTCGCGCCAAGAATATGATCTCCTCTATCCTTCCTTTGCCTTCGTCATCATCCTCCTCCCTGATCAGGATGCGTCGATCGTTGCTCTTTTGATAAATTATCAACCGAAGATATCGCTCGTCAACCGCAGAGAGGATACGATGTTACCAAGACGAGGATATACACGGGACAAGAAGATTTTACGAGGACACTGGTATCGCGAAATAATTATGCTGTAAAGCGTCCTAATAATTTATCGGACAGGAATAGCCGGTAAATGATCAAGGTGAATTTGCATTCTTCCCTCGTTATGTTTCGCGTGCAATCAACTCGGGATTTTTAGTGCTGTTTAAGATGTACCCGATCACTCGGGATATGTTATTCCTCAAATTCACACGTGAGCATGTTGCAGAGAATGTAATCTCGGGAATCTGTGAAAGAGTTGTAGGATGCTTTCGTTGCGTGCACCGATCGTTTTGTGATTCTTCCTTTTTTCCAAATATTTCGTACATTCACCGGCGAGCTTTTCAAATCGTTACTTCGCAAAATTGCTTGGTATTTTCTGAGAAAGTGAGGTTGTCACTAATTGTGCTAATTTCTTCTAATTTTTATCTCGTTTCTAGAGATAAGTATTTATCGATTTTCGATTCCTCGGCAATTTTATTTCGACGATTTCCACGACACGTCAATCTTAATAAATTCTCTCTTCGCAAATTTTTGCACCATTTTCTGAATAATTATTTCACCGATCAAACGAGCCGGTCGTATTCTCGACTATTAACGAAGAAGATGACTATTAATTCCTGATTCCTCGGAACCTGTACAATTACACGAGAATTTTTCAATCAGGAATTCGTCTATTTTTACCACGGTCCTTTATAATAATCTCGAAGAATTTCGCATTAAGAATTCTAATTAACCAGTATCTTGGAGCGGACAAGTATCGGAACCGCTCGGAACAGGACTCGCAGTTTGTGGAAAACAGAGAGTTTCGATTGGAGCGAAAACGCGGACAAGAGTCGGCGGGGACAATTTGAACTGGGGATCCGTTTGTTTATAAACCCTCAAAATGTTCCTGCGGCGGTGCGTTTTCGGTGACACGGAGTCCCGTGGACGAGGAAACGAGCTGCGGTTTTCCGACTCGGCCACGCCAGAGCAACTCCTGTTCCGTTTAAATATTCCATCGCGGAACCGGTACCAGAGGCGATCCCGTTTCCGCGCGCGCGTTTCAATCGCTTCTCCCCCCCTGCCGGCCCGGTAAACGTCCGCGTAATTCGTAAACGGGCCAGCCCAGCAGAGCGCCAATCCCCTTTACTCTTCCCCGAAACGGACAGTTTTACCGCCTTTCGACAATTCCGCCTCGCCCCGGCCCCGCGGAAAAAATCACCACCTCGAAAAACCGAGGAGAGAGAGAGAGAATTTTATTGCCTGACCGCCTGCTACACGCGCCGCTCCAAAAGTGCCAGCTGGAGTTGTTCTCCTCTTCTCGTCCTTGTTCCATTTTTACTTCGTTTTTTTTTTCCCAGGTTTTGTTTGGTTTGAAGAATTTTTATGGGGACGTTGAAGACATTCGGGTAATTTTTGTTTAACTGTCGTGCGGGTATTGAAGAGTGTGTAAGAGATTGCTACTTTGTGTTGGAAGAGTAGCGAGAGGATTGATTTTTGTATTTTAGTGATCGCGAAGGGAATTTAAAGAGGTATCACAAAGTTGAGATAAAAAAATTTCAGGAATTATTAATTCGTAATAGATTGCTACTTTGTGTTGGAAGGATAGTAAGAGGATTGATTTCTGTATTTTAGTGATCGCGAAGGGAATTTAAAGAGGTATCACAAAGTTGAGATAAAAAAATTTCAGGAATTATTAATAAGTAATAGATTGCTACTTTGTGTTGGAAGGATAGTAAGAGGATTGATTTCTGTATTTTAGTGATGTTATAACAGGTATTACAAAGTTGAGATAAAAGAAATTTCAAGAATTATTAATTTGTAGTAGATTGCTACTTTGTGTTGGAAGAATAATAAGAGGATTGATTTCTGTATTTTAGTGATCGCGAAGGGAATTTAAAGAGGTATCACAAAGTTGAGATAAAAAAATTTCAGGAATTATTAATTCGTAATAGATTGCTACTTTGTGTTGGAAGGATAGTAAGAGGATTGATTTCTATATTTTAGTGATGTTATAACAGACATTACAAAGTTGTGATAAAAGAAATTTCAAGAATTATTAATTCGTAGTAGATTGCTACTTTGTGTTGGAAGGATAGTAAGAGGATTGATTTCTATATTTTAG